CGGGAGGCTGAGGCAGGAGGATTGCTTGAGCCCAGGAGTGTGAAGTTGCTGTGAGCTAGGCTGACGCCACGGCACTCTAGCCCGGGCAAAAGAGTGAGACTCTGTCTCAAAAAAAAAAAAACAAAACCAAGAGGTGGAAATGACCTAAATGTCCATCAACAGATGAACAGATAAAGAAAAATGTGGTAAATCCATGTAGTGGAATATTATTTAGGCTTCAAGAGGAAGGAAATCCTGTCACGTGTTACAAGATGAATGAGCCTTGAAGACATTATGCTGAGTCAAACAGGCCAGTCACAGAAGCACACGTGCCGCGTGACCGTACTTCCACGCGGGTCTAAAGCGGTGACACCCGCGGGAGCGGGAAGCAGAATGGCGGCTGCGGGGATGCGGGGCGACAGGGAGCTGCTCAGTACCGAGTCTCGGCTGTGCGAGGCCTGCTGTGCCGTGCTGTGCTCAGAGCTGACACCACTGTATTGTACACTTAAAGATTTGCTAAGAGGCTGGAAGTCATGTTACGTGTTTACCACACTAAAAAAAGCATTTCAGAATGCAAGTGAGTATGATGTTAAAAGACAAACTTTAAAAAAAAATCCTGTTCTATAAAAACACAAAAGTTCACATTATTTTGCACACTATTTTGCTTTTTTCACTTAATGTATCTTGGAGGTCATTGCAGTACCCGCCATGTGACAGCTTCACATGAGGCCACACGACACAGAGGCAAGCACGTGGCTCTGAAGCCAGACTGCCACCTCCCAGCTGTGTGACTCTGGGCTGCTTAACTCTCAGTGCTTTCTTTTCTGTATCTGTTAGGTATGAAATGTCAGTGATACCACAGTGCCTTCCCCAGAGGGTTGTAGGGAGGATTAAATGAGCTAAAGCCATTTAGAACAGTCAAAATAGCGTCTGGCCTCTAATAATACTGGCATTGCTGCTGATGTTGGCATCGGTGTTAGGGGCAACACTGTCTGTGCCCACATAAGAGCAAGGCCATTTGGGGCTTTCCGGAGCGTTCTTTCTTTTAGAGGTCCTACTCCACATCATGTTAAGCTCGATACAATGTACTCACGTCCCCACATAAATACAATTGTTGTGGTACACAATTTTCAAAAGTATTTTTCAATCTTGCTTTTCAAGTTATTTAGCTACATAGAAGTGACAATATAGGGCATCCTTGTCCCATTCATAGTCTTGTGGGAAAGCATCTAAGCATGATGTCTGCTGTAGATACATAATAGAGACCTTCATCAGATTAGGGAATTGCCCTTTTATTCCTAGTTTTCTAAGAATTTCATCAAGGAAAGGTGTCTATCAAATACATCTTCCTGCCATCTACTGGGATGACCATGTGCTTTTTCTGCCTTTGTTAATGTGGTTAATTACTCCGATTGTTTTTAATAGTGAAAATAAACTAGAAAATAGTGAGAATAAACCTGACCTGATATGATCGTTTTCATGTATCTCTGAATTTGGTTTGCCATGATTTTGTTCAGGATTTCTGCATGGAGGTTCATAAGAGAGATTGACCTTTTCACTTTTTTGTGTTTTTTTAATGTCCTTGCCAGAACTAGTCATCAAAGTTATGCTGGCCTCTTAAAATGAGTTCAGAAGGTTTACTCCTTTAAGTCTTTTTCTAAGCTCTGTATGAATTTATGTAAGACTGATGTTATTTCATCCTTAAATGTTTGCGAAGCTTCACGTTCAAGCCATCTGGGCCTGGCATTTCCTTTGAGGAAAAGATTTAAATTATAGACTACTGAGGTTTTTCTACTACTTTTTCTTACGTCAGTTTAGTAAGTTATGTTTTTCTAAGATTTTGACCATTTCATTAACATTATCTAATTAATTAGCACAAAGTAGTAATTTATAAATATCTTATCATTACTTTAATGACTATGGGGGCTGAGTGCTCACTCTAGGAGCTCAGGAGTTTGAGCGTCGCCTGAGCAAGAGTGACACCCCATCTCTACAAAATAGAGATTATACAGGTGTGGTGGTGTGTGTCTGCAGTCCCAGCTACTCAGGAGGCTGAGGTAGGAGGATCATTTGAGCCCAGGAGTTTGAGGATGTTGTGAGCTATGATGACACCATTGCCCAGGCAACAGAGCGAGACTCTGTCTCAAGAAAAAAAAAAAATGACTATAGGATCTTAAGTGATGTTCCCCTTTCAAAATTCCTGATACAGGTAATTTATGCCTTTTCTTTTCTTTGTAGCAGTCTTGCCAAAGGTTCATCAACTTTAATAGTCTTTAAAAGAACAAACTTCCCACAGAACCTCTTTTAATAGTCTCTTCGCTATAAGTATGCTAGTTAAAAAATCTTTTCTTATTTGACTGAAAGTATCTTTCTTTTGTGTTCACCTCTGAAGGATGTTTTCCCTAGGGACAGCTCGCTAGGAAAGCAGTCACATCTTTCAGCACTTAGCAGATGCCACCGCACTGTCGTCTGGCTCCCATCGTCGTGGCAGAGAGGGCCGCTGTCAGCTTTGCTCTTGCTCCCTGACATCAACGTGTCTTTTTTCCCTTTGGGTGTTTTTAGAATGCTTTGCCTTTCATTTCCAGCAGCTTTAACCTCACATGTCTACGTGTGATTTTCTCTGTACTTATCTTGCTTGGGGTTTATACTGTTTCTTGAATCTGGGGCTTGACATCTTTTATCAGTTTGGGGAATTCTTGGACATTATCTCTTCCAAATTGCTTCTGCCCTGTCTTTTTTCCCCCACTCTGGCGGACTCCAATTACACACTAGATCTTTTCACTCCATCCCATGTGTCTCTTCTGTCCTTTTCTCCATTTCCTGTCCTTCTTTTTCTCTGTGTTTCGGTTTAGGTATTTCTACTCTAATAGAGGCTTAAAGAACTGAAGACAGGTCAGTAGAAATATCTACAGTTAAACTTTGTTGAGTCTTTAATTCAGGTACTTTATTTTTAAGTTACAGAATTTCTAATGGATTCTTTTTTTATAGATTGTGGTTTTCTGATGAAATTCTCCACCTCGTCATTTACTTTCTTGAATGAATTAATCTCAGTTGTTTTAAAGTCCATGTCTAATAATATCAAATCTGGACCTCCTGTGTCTGTTTCTATTGCCTATATTTTTTTTTTTTTTGAGACAGAGTCTCACTCTGTTGCCCTGGCTAGAGTGAGTGCCGTGGCGTTAGCCTAGCTCACAGCAACCTCAAAGTCCTGGGCTCAAACGATCCTTCTGCCTCAGGTTTCTAAGTAGCTGGGACTACAGGCATGCGCCACCATGCCCGGCTAATTTTTTCTATGTATTTTTAGTTGTCCGATTAATTTCTTTTTTTTTTTAGTAGAGATGGGGGCTCGCTCTTGCTCAGGCTGGTTTCGAACTCCTGAGCTCAAATAATCCGCCCGCCTCAGCCTCCCAGAGAGCTAGGATTACAGGCGTGAGACACCGCGCCCGGCCTATTGCCTATATTTTTATCTTGGTTTTTCATCATTTGGTATTTTCTAGGTGTGTGCCTGGTTTTGTTTTTGTTTTTGTTTTTTTTTCTACATGGCACTGTATTTGAAAAAATGTGGATATAATTTGAGATTCTAGATGATGTAATCTTCCTCCAGAGAGTGTTAGTTCTGCTTCTAGAAGGTAGTTAAAATAGGGGAAGATCACCTAAATCCAAATCCAAGTTTCTATGGGTTTTAAGACTAAACAAATAAAAGGCTTCTTAAAGATATTAATGGATAATATTTTAATAATCTAATAGCTAGAAAGACATTTCAAAGCAGGAAACAAAAAGCCTTAAAGTTATAAAGGAAAACACTGAACACAAAAATGTAAAATTTCTCTTAAGTAAAATGTAACTATAAACAAAGTTAAAAGATAACAGAGAAAATATAATACATATGAAAATAAAGTTAAAAAGCATAATATATCAAGATGTCTTACAAATAGGAACAAGACCAACATCTCAAAAGAAAAATATGCAAAGTATATAATTGTTCATAAACACACAAAAGATATATAAATGTCCTATGAACACATTAAGGAGTGCTCAACCTTACCGAAGAACAAAGTAAAACAAGATACCATTGTTTTACAAGATACCGATTCAATCCTCAACATTTATAAACAGTGTCGAGCTTCTGGGAAAACAGCATTTTATATACTGTGAGTGGAAGTATAAATTGAAGGGCAATGTGTTTATCAAGTTTTTCAACATTCCAGGACACAGCAAATCCATCTCCCTTTTCTAGGAATCATTTTGTGGTAGATCTCAGGACTGGCTCACTCAACTCCATTCTGGTTTCTTTGTAGGGTGATTTATGGAATTATAAGAGCCTGGAAAGCTAAAGGGTATATTTGCCAAACTCCCTTAAAGCTTGATTCATCAAGCGACCTAGCTTCCATCAAACAGGCCCACTCTCAGAAGATCTGGAAGGTGCATGGGAGTATAAGGCCACCTTTCTGCAGCTTCTACTGGCAAGAGCAGCTGTGAAGGCACTTGCTCCTCTGTGGCTGGGCAGTAGAGGTTCTGGTGTCTGTTCCACGGCTTTCTGGTAATATGAGGTGGGCACAGAGCATGCATTCTGCTGGCACGGACTGTACGTGTTGCAGTGTGGACCTGAAGCCGATCCTAGATCTTGACAGAAGTGGTAGTCCTAGGCTAACAGCTAGAGAAAGTCTTCCTGATTCTTGTGGAAATAAAAGCTCCTTCAATGGGCCAACTTTGAGACGTTCTGGGAACATTTCCTGGAAGCTCTGTGCATCCTAGAGCCTCTTCCTCCAGCCCTTCCAGTACCAAATCCCCTCTATTAAATTCCTTTCTGCTTAACTACAGTAATTTTTGATATTTGCAAATGAACCTTGATACACCCTTATACAGAAATAGGATCTTAAGTGGTCAAAAATGTGTACAAGGATCTTCACTGTATTGTTTTTGTAATAAGTTAAATCCAAAACAACATAACTGTCCATCGACAGAAGAGTGGCTAAATAAATCACCACACATAATGTGGCCTTTAAAAAATGAATTATTTCTCTAACTATTGACATTTAACGATGTCTCTAAATATTCCTTCATTCCTTCAACGAATATTTATTGAGCTTCTACTATGTTATGACAATGTACCAGCCACTGTTCTAGACAAGAGATATAACAGCAAGCAAAATAAACAAAAATCCCTGCCCTCACAGAGCTTACATTACAATGATAAAGTGTCAGAATAATGTGCAGTGTAATCCAATTTACAAAACAGACACAGACACTCTCTACACACACACACACACACACACACGCGCGCGCGCGCGCGCGCATAAATATGTATAAAGAAAAACATCTAGAGGGATACACAACAAACCACAAGCAGTGGTTCTTTCTGTGGCTTGTCTACTACCTGCATTGGAGAGACAGCAGCGGCTGGAGCAGTCCTCACTGGTATTCCACTTAGGAGGCTTCTGGGGGTCTTATGAACAGCAATATTCTGTCCAGCTCCACCTGCCAAGAAAGGAGATGGTAACATTCATATATTGTTCCAGTTCAAAATAGCAAATAATAATTCTTGATTTGTTATTACTTTTTTGGTGACTTAAAAAGTGTCCCATAATGTTTAGTATAACATTTAGTCTATTATCCTTTTCTACTCTGGACTAGAGTTGAATTGGGGAAATGAGAGGGAAGGAGTTAGCTGATTGAGGGTAAGTCTTAGATATAGGATAACCAAGAAAACAGAAAATGTATATATAATGAAGTACCTACAAGAAGAAGAAACAGGAAAGTTCTTGTATAAACTATTACAGTTAATTCATTTCCCATCTCCACAGACTGACTGGGCTTTCATATCTTTCCATATGTGTAGTCTAATCTTAATCTAATTTAGCTGCAATTATTTCAGCAGAGACAACCAGGTACATTCTAGGATTAGCTTTTACTACAGTCTTCTGATACAATGGCATATTTGTTGTGGTCAAGGTAATAAAGACATTGTTACTTGGACATACACCCTGTTTCTCCTATTTACTATATTTGTGTGTGTACAGTTTATGTATAAAGTACGGATGTGCATTTTTTTCATATATGTAGATAAGCACAACTGAAGAGGAACTGTGAGTCAGCCAGATGTTTCCAGCAAAGGCTGGGGCTGCACCAAGATCAGGAGTGACAGATCAGCACAGGTGGTCACATACAGGACCAGGTGGAAAACAGTCTAGCAGCAGGTTGCAAGATGGGGATGGCCAGAGGTCCCAACAAGAGGGCCTGATGCACAGGATTGATGCCTCATTTCCTAGGAGACGAGGCCTCTGGTGACCCTGCTAATTCCTGAGATGGGAAGAAGGCAAACAGTAGTGACCAGAATTTAATGTCCGTAAGAGGAGGGAAAGGAAGGTGGCAAGGAACTGGAGCAGGGGAAGAGGTGGAGAGAAAGAGGCGGCTGTGTTTGCATCATCTGTGAGCCAGACTCACTCTCGTTGCCTCCCTGGAGGCTCAGCCAGGGCCCTGCACACTGTGGCTGCACGTGGTATGATCAAGAGAGAACCCTTGTGGTTCTGTCAACTTGGGGCCAGTGTGGAGTAGAGATAGGCCTGATATGTCAGGCCCGGTTTGAATCTGGAGCTTTGCTTATGGAAAACAATGAGTAAATACCTGGGCGGCCCAAGTCAAATGACTTGATGAGTGACTTAACAGTAGTTGCAGACTCTGCAGGTGTTGGAGAGGTTCTGCTAACATAGACGCTGTGCCACCGGCCAGGAGCATCGACCTCAGAGGACTCTGGCTCTTCATCCACAGGTCTGCACAGTAAAGAAGAAATCAGATTGAAATGGTGGAGGATGGGGAAAAGACACAGATGGAAACAGAACTGATGTGGAGAAAATAAACAAGGCTGGAAGGAGAATCCTAAATTTAAAATCCTGTTTTCTGTATCAGCTTTGCATCTTTAGGAAATAACATAGGTATTGCTCTCAATTTTTAAGAGATTTTTTAAAGAAAATAGCCAGGAATGATGTTTTTATATGTAGAGTAACTAGACATTGGCTCTAAATAAAAAGTATGTGTGGCTATTCTGTAGATTGTAAAAAAATATGTTATTTATCATAAATATTAGCTTACTATCAATGGTAGGTACAATGGATTGGTCTGTCCAAACCCCATGTAGCATACAGAGGTTAGAAAGATGAAATCTCAGGACTCTCCTGCAGCTAGAACTTCAGACGTGATAGCTCCACCAATCGGAAAGACTTGGGCAAGATCTGGAGTGGGCCCCGAGTCAGGGGAAGAGAGGCAGGGCACAGGGCAGCCACTGTGCTGATAGAGACTGCAGCAGAGACGGGACGCTTCTGGTGCTGGTAACTGCAGTGGTAGCTTTCCAACTGGACCAACAGCTTCCTGATTGTAAGGCTTCTGTCCTGGTGGAGGCAGCAGCTTCCCTGGTGCTCCAGTTCTGTGTTGACTTTGGGAGCTGTTCCTGGAAGTTCAGCCCTGCCAACAATTCTTCGAGTCATTTAACACCTTTCCACCTAAGCCAACCGAGTGTGATCTATTAGATACAACAGAATCCTGACTGACATACTCTTTGCCCTCTAAGAGTAAGAATGATGACAGCACTCTAAAATAACACCGCAATTCTGCATAAGGCGAAGCTTTTACTCTCATCCAATTTTCCTGGTATGTTCTTCATGCTTTGCTTTTGTTGTTTTAAATGTGGCCCTTAAATGTAAAACAGCTATTTCTCCTGAGATGCAACTAAAGAAAGAGCGAACTATTAAATGCAATAGGGAAAACTAAAATATTAGACTTATTGAAAGATGGTATGATTGTATACAGTTGTATTTACAAAAGTACAGTTTACATGGTTTCTAAATTCAAGCACAGACTCATAGAAAGTCTTTTAGGATAGATCATCTGACTCCATCCTCTCATGTATAGCTTCCTCATCTAGGGGACTTCAGCATGACATTTAATCTCCCTGTGAATGAGCCAAGACAAGAACTCCCAATCTTCTGATTGCTAAATCACTATTCTTTTCATTATATCATATTGCCATAGCTGTTTTGCAAGATGACTAATTTATGAGAACAGTTCAAACAGAATGTTTCTGGAAGTATATTTCAATAAGGTCAGTGGAAGTTTAAAATATTTATTTACTGATCTTTTTGAAATTAATCTAGCTACTCATAAGCTTCCGTGGTTGAATTTACTTGTCCTTAATTTTCCAAGCTTTCTTCTCTTGCTGTGATCAACATGAATAGAAGAAATTTAAGTGAAATAGAACTTAAAACACTTAAGCCACCCTGCTCTACACTCTTTTTTTTTTTTTTTTTGAGGCAGAGTCTCACTCTGTTGCCCTGGCTAGAGTGAGTGCCGTGGTGTCAGCCTAGCTCACAGCAACCTCAAACTCCTGGGCTCAAGCGATCCTACTGCCTCAGCCTCTCAAGTAGCTGGGACTACAGGCACGCATCACCATGCCCGGCTAATTTTTTCTATATAAGTTTTAGTTGTCCGATTAATTTCTTTCTATTTTTAGTAGAGACGGGGTCTCGCTCTTGCTCAGGCTGGTATCAAACTCCTGAGCTCAAACAATCCGCCCGCCTCGGACTCCCAGAGTGCTGGGATTACAGGCGTGAGCCATCGCACCCGGCCTGCTCTACACTCTTGACCTCAAAACCCCTTGGTGTAAATGGAAATAAAACCAGTAAGCTGGAAACTTCTTTGGAAGAAACTATCAGGCATTTCAGAAATTGCAGAGGGATGGGTTTAAAAAAATTATTTTAAAGCTTTATTGAAAGGAATTGGTTTTCATATGTTCCCCTTTGTGTTATACACAGTATGAAGTATGAGATCAGGTGGTAATATACAGAAACAGAATGAATCAGGTTAGGTCTGAGCAGAAAAAAAAATCTCCTACTTCTGTCCCAGCCATTCTCAGGAAGGTCAACAACAAATGGGGTGGGCCACCTTCTCACCAGCCCATTTCCATGACTGGGCACTAAAGGGCCTCCAAGGAGGATCATTTTAAAGAACTCATTTTCATTTCATTCTTTGATAATTTAATAAGAATAAAATGGAGAATCCTACAGTTATCTAAGTTTCTTCGTGGTTCAAAATATCAAATGATAAATAGACTCACTTAGACTTCATAGGAAAATAGCAAGGCCACAGAATCAATTTCCAGTGCTCCTGCCTTCAGATATCCAAAGACAATACTTCAAACAATCAGTCTGCTTGGCTAGAACAATAACGGTCAGTACAACAAAACACTGCATTATTAAGTAGATTAGAGAAATACCCGCTAAATACCCACCATACCACATAACAGTGATTAGAGTGTGTGCATAGCAGGGATTCACAAAACAAAGCCTGAATTGAAAAACCATAGAAAACAGTGATTAAGAATACTATTGGTTTTATCAGTATGTACTTTAATCCCAAATAAGCTTGAAATTCCTTGCACCAGCCTGCCTTCGAATTGTTTGGGATAAACCAGTAACAGCCCCAGCAATAAATGAAGTATTACATTTACTCTGTTTCAATGAATAAAAACTCTGTATTCTACAAAGGATATTAAGAAATATTTACACATACAGCCAGGTATATCTTAGCAAATTCACTGAATAAGAGAAAAATTGCAAGGTACTACCACTGGTTAAATATTTGTTCAGGTCTAGCTATCGCCTCTAAGGGTGATGTTAGGTTCTAAAGTCAAATTGTAAAATAAAAATCACACATATAGTCAAATAAGCCTTGAAAATCCCTTAAGTTACCCAAAGTACAGCTTACATGGTTTTGTAAATACAACTGTATACAAACATACCATCTTTCAATAAGTCTAACCTGTCAGTTTTCCTTACAGCATTTATTTTTTATAATTTTTGGGGGAAATTCTTTACAAAATTTTATTTAAGATCTCATGTCCTTATTAAAAAAGTGCATTACATCAAGATTAGAAAAAGGATACTTTTTTTGTACGAGGACTACTCATCTACTCATCTATTTTACCCCATGATTCATTTCCTACCCTAACATAAACGATAAAACATTTTTTCTTTCTTCCTTTTCTCCCTCCTGCTTTGAAAGGGCAACCGCTGTGAGGGATATCTTAACGGGATGTGTGCCAATCCTTCCTTCCAGGAGCGCAGCAGCTTCCCAGTGGCTGGACTTAGCCACCGGCATGCCTTTGGCACTGAGCCCGAAGGTCACTAAACCCTGAACTTACTTGCAATCTCTCTCCCTGGGTTCCTCTTTTACTCACAAACTCTACTTTAACACAACCTTAAATTTTAAGCACTCAAGAATTGCTTAAGAAATGATTAAGAGATCTAAAATTAATTTACTACTTTAATTACCTTAGCAATTATTTCTGTATAAGAATCTCAAAGTTAATAAAAATGAAATAGATGGAAAATGACCCCATACTAAGGGGATGAATTCTAAGAGCAAATATATTTTATAGCCTTGTCTCAAAATAAGAGCAATCCTACGAAATACAAAATGTTAAGAATGTAACTTACACAGTAAAAATGATTTGATCTGTTTTCAGTATGAAAGCACTTCGAATTTCTTTACTGCAGGCACTATGGCATCCAAGTCTTCGACTTCTGAGATTTCAACTAGATCATTAGTAAATGCCTGAAAGTCTGGGGAAAATTCCTCATGTTCTTCCAATTTGTTGATAATGCTTTGGAGGTCTTTAGGTCCCAGTACCTGCTTAACCTGCTCATCCACATCCTCATTAATCAGCCTACACAATTTTCCAACTGTGCTTACCAGCACACACAATGAGGATGCATTATCTAATTCTAAGAGTTCTTGGAGGTTTCTCACAGCACTGTTCATTTCTCCAAGCCTAGTATAAACGTCATTCATTCGGGGATAGACTCCATTCAAGAAGGCACATCAAATAATTTTTGGAAGTGAGAGATAATAGCTTGCAACATTTGAAAGTTTGGCATATTGCTGTCCTTCTCCTTATTTTCAACTTCTTATAACATGGTATCTACAATAAACAACAAATCTTCAACTTTGATACCTTCATTTTCATCCTGCTTCTTTAAATTATGCCAAGGCATCAGTTCTGCAGATAGTGTTTTCAAATCCTTGAGGCTGGCAGCGGGGGCTGCGCCGGTAATCCTGGCACTCTGGGAGGCCGAGGCGGGAGGGCCGACAGCATTTAATAGTTTGCGCGTCTCAGATGAAACAGGTGCTTTATGTTTAGGGGCCACATGTAAAACGATAAAAACAAAGCAATTTTCTACCTGTTCCCAGCATATAAAACTATACCAATAACTAAGAATTTCATCAAAATAAATGTGTACAACTCCACTGTATATGCCAGTACCATGTGTCTTAAATTATCTGATTTAATTTTCCACAAACCCCCGTATGTTATTATCCCTTATTTCACAGAGGAAAATTTGACAAAGCTCACATGGCCTGTAAACGGTGACTCTGAGATGTAAACCCAGCTCTGTTCGGCCACGGCTTTCTATAAGGCATGAGTGTTCTGCGAGAGGCATGCGAAGGCTCTAAAAAAAATTGCTGATGGTATTTCTTAAAATTTATTTTAAATATATTTAAGAAAAAATACTACCAACATTTATTTCAGTGTTCCTGTTCTCACGCAATAACCTGCTCTTACAAGGTGGCAATCCTACGTGAGAACAACAGCTGGCGGCCAGACTGCCCGCGCCAGCACGCGGCGCAGCAGCGCACCCCGACTAGGCAGCGCCACCGACCACGGCAGCTGCGTGTCCCTCCCCCCGGATGCCGGCCTCGCTCGCGCGTCTTGTCATGA